ACAGTGTGCTAATTAGAGAGCCACACATACGTGTCATTTTTCTTGGTAGGAAAGGTCTTCGATTTATTTTGATTTTTGGCATCCCAATGGATAATATTTTGAGTTTAATTCCACGCCGAAAAGGTAAGCTGTTAAAAAACTTCATGTTTTCCCCTGTACATGTATATACATGTATTATTTTTAATCTAATGTCAGATAAAATTAATGAAAATCCACAGGCGCTTGACGTTTTTAACCTTTCTTTTTCCTACTATAATAATAACCAAGGCGTCTCACGTAGCCATCTTGGATTTTTTTCAGGTCAGCTACCTCACCTCGATTTTTAGTCTACAGTATGTTTAAAATAAACAGATACAACCCTTTCCTTGGAGTACTTACCTTAACCATGCCTCCACTTTCGGGCAATCCAACTCAAACCACATTAAACCCTCTGTAATCTTTAAAATATCGCTTCATACTCAGTCTACTGCTACCGACTCGGTAAAAATTTGGAAAAGGGAGGCCGGAAGTTAATGTTAGAACGTCATAATCCAGGAAAGCCCTTTTCTGATTGGTTGATATCTTATTAGTTATAAATATTAAACTTGCGGTAATATTTGAAATAGAAAACGAACTGTTTACATCATGTAAATCTAAAGCATGAAAAATAAAATACACACAAAATAATGGAGCTTGAACAGTTTTACTGGTATGCATCATATAAATACCTAAGTAATCAATCAAATTTAAGCAGAGGAAATTCTCATTTACATAATAACACTTCCGGCCTCCCTTTTCTAAGTTTTTACCGAGTCGGTAGCAGTATACTGAGTATGAAGCGATATTTTAAAGATTACAGAGGGTTTAATGTGGTTTGAGTTGGATTGCCTGAAAGTGGAGGCATGGTTAAGGTAAGTACTCCAAGGAAAGGGTTGTATCTGTTTATTTTAAACATACTGTAGACTAAAAATCAAGGCGAGGTAGCTGACCTGAAAAAAATCCAAGATGGCTACGTGAGACACCTTGGTTATTATTATAGTAGGGAAATTTTTTATTTATAAAGAGAAAGGTTAAAAACGTCAAGCGCCTGTGTGAAAATCTTCTATTTTATAGTAACAGTCATGGTGTGATAAATTGGGTAGAACATTTTCATTGATTATATTTTATAATTTTGATTTCTTTTATTAATTTAGACATATGTCAAGAAATTTATAATTAGCTTCAAAAAAAATAAATTAAAATTTGAACGTATACGACCAAAATCGTTGTTAAAGTCATCTGGATCAATGTCTTTTGTTTTATTATATTTGTAACATCAAGACTTTAAATAATTTAATTTTGACAAAATAAATCATACAATTCGACAAATTATTTTTTAAAGTAATAGACCAGTTGATCGATCTACTTATAATTTCATTTCCGAAAAATAGAGTTACTGTTTAAATTTTACAATTACTGTCTGCTTTACCATGATATAATTATTTTATTTATTTAATTAATTATTTATCAATTAATCAATTTATTCATTCATGAAATAAGCGATTAATTATTTTTTCCTTCTACGCTTTAATATTTATTATATTGATGAAAAAGAAAGGGATAAATCTTTATTTTCTCTTTTTCAGTTGAATTAATCTCATTTTTATTAACAAAACGAAAAAGAAACTCGGAATAGCTCAGTAGTTTCTTTACATAGTGAAGATAAAAAGCGAGGGTTTCTGAATATACATGATAAACGCAAAACATGATACACGATAGAACCTGATAAACGATCTACACGATAAACGCAAAACACGATAAACGGAAAACACGATAGAAAACGCAAAACCTGATAAACGGAAAACACGATACGATAGGATACACGCACGATACGATAGGATACACGCACGATAGAACACGATAGAATTGTAAAGAATAACGATGCGGGTACTGTAGAGTGCAGTCTCAAAAAGATCCAAAATAGGGCGCTAAGTCCACCCATTCTCTGTGTATCAAGGTTAACATGATTTTCCTGCAGTGTAAACTGTTTAGGATAATAAATTGGACAATATTTGATAGCTGTATCATGCTGTGATGGGGCACTTTATTGGGACTAGAACCGGGGCAATAAAAACTGAGAAAAATCATAAGACAAAGCTAAATTCATAATGAATTGACTCTATGATGGTTATTATCACCAAAATTTCTGTTTTGTTATATAGATTGATTGTACCATTATGTTCTTTATACCCAATTGGAGAATTTTTCACTCATATTTAAACGTCATATGCATATACTTGTAAAAAGCTTCAAATTTTGACCTTTTCTTGACACTCAGGGCCATTGAGCAGTGATGAATCTTAATCGGGCTAACCCCTGCGATTACACGGGGCCTCCGTTTTTAAGGTCTCATCTGAAGGACCATTAACTTTCACTTCAAAGTGCCGAGTGCATGGTGAAGGAAGAGTTGCTAGTTGCTACCAATGTTTTATTGACCCCGCCAGGTCAGTTGCAGCAAAAATGAACTTAAAACCTTTTAATTACCTAGCAAATGTTCTACTAAATGAGCTACCATGATGGTTTGTTTTGGCAAGACAGAATATTTTTTCTCAAATAGATAGCTTCAGGAAGTGTTCTTTTTACAGATATCTAATTGCAAATCATAATTTACAATTTTACTTACGGAAAACCATACCAATAAAATATCAAAAATGAATTTCTAAATTGAGACTGCCATCACACCAATTGGCAATTGAAACAGGTAGATATAGTAATACAGAAAGACACTCTAGATATTGGTTTTTTGTGTTCAAATAATGTTGAGGACGAATTTCATTTTATTTTAATCTGTTCTGCTTATGAAATACTAGTACATCGTAAAAAATACTTAAAGTCTTATTATTGGAAAAAACCTTCAATGTTTAAATTGTTGCAACTTTTTAATGTTGAAAATGTGAAAGAATTATGCAACCTAGGTAAATTTATTTACTTCAGCCTAAAGACTAGAGAATACTTGTTAAATTAATCATTTATGTCATATATTTATACATAAGTGTCATATGTTCATAATTATCATATTCTCCTGTAAACCTGCATGTACAGTCATGTTTGTATTTGTTTGTACTGATGAGCTATAAAGCTCAAAGTCAATAAAGAACTTGTTTTATAGAGAAACATGATGTCTTGAGTAACAATTAAGTTAATTAAGTAATTACATTCCTTAATATTTTGGGAAGTGACAAATTGGGAAAATTAATTAACACATTCAATTTGGAAAAAGGTACCTTGTTTGAATTGGATCATTTTAACTAACCCCAATTATAGAGAATAAAGAGCCCTGAAACTACAGTTTATCCATGCTGTCTGTATCAACTGAGAGCAAATGTCTCTGGGGAAAAAGTAAAACTTCCCAAGCAATGATTTTAATGTATCATGAACATGATTAAGTTAGAGAGATTGTTAAGAAATAGATTTTGAAAGTATGTAGTTAAACTCTTTAACTCACTTAAGCCCAAGTGATCTGTCTGTCCATCCATATATTTTTCTATAGCTGTCTGTCTACATGTAGCTGTCCATCTACAACTTTTCACATTTTCAATTTCTTCTCAAGAGCTATACTGGACCATTTTAGACAAAGTAGGTACATGCGTGTCTCTGGGTGAAGAGGATTCTAAATTCTTGAACAAACTGGCAATTTAAGACATCCTCCCAAGGGGAGATAATTGAAAAAAGAGTGGAATGGAGTCATTAAATTTTTTTTCTCAATAACAACTGGACAAGAACAAGAGATGTTTGTAAAACACTTATGCCCCCCTCCCCCCAAATTGGAATTTTTTTGTAAGTCCAAGGGGCATAACTCTGTCAAAAATGGCACGATTGTACCCAAAACAGAACTTGACCTAGATATTAATGTGATATATCTGTAAATTAAATTTCATCTCAGTATGTGCAACGGGTGCAAAGAAAATGAACAGAAACTGCTAATAATTGAAATTTTTCTAAGTCCTAGGGGCATAACTCTGTCAAAAATGGTGCGATTGTACCCAAAACAGAACTTGACCTAGATATTAAGGTGATATATCTGTATACTAAATTTCATTTCAGTATGTGCAATGGTTGCAAAGAAAATGAGCGGAAACTGCTAATAATTGAAATTTTTCTAAGACCATGGGGCATAACTCTGTCAAAAATGGTGTGATCGTGCCTAAAACAAAACTTGACCTAGATATAAATTCATGTGATATATCTGTATACCAAATTTCATTTCAGTATGTGCAACGGTTGCGAAGAAAATGAACGGAAACTAAGTGGACTGACAGACCGACTGACCGACAGACAGCAGCAAAGCAATATGCCCTCCCTTCTTCGAAGAGGGGCATAAATATTGAAATTTATATGAAAGCTTTCTGAAATAGTGTAGACTCAATACTATTCTAATCATGGCCTCAAGGGGTAGGACAAGGCAACAAAATATATGAGTTCAAATTTTAATATTGAAATGTATATTAGGAAAAATCTTGCTCTTAGGAACCATTCTAACAGAAAAGCTGAAAATTATGTAGAAATAGTGTAGATTCTAAATTGTTAAAAAACAGTCCATGGGGTTAGAGTCAGAGCCACAATAGGGAATCAAATTTTTATAAACAATGAAAGACATAGGAAAAATCTAAAAAAAAAAAATCTTCTTAAGAAACACTGGGCCTGAAAAGATGATCTTTGTGAAACCTTCATGAGGTTATTTAAATTAAATTATTAAATTTAAACATGTATAATCCAGTCTCTTAAAGGTAAGGAGGGGTCATAATATTGAAACATGGTATTGCATTGGGGAAAATAAGATGCAGTTCCAAAGTGATTGATTCTTGTGATTGTTGTGGCCCATTAACCTGACATTTTATATGCAATTTTAATATCTTTTTTCACTATTTGAAAAAAAAAATCACTAATTAATATAAAAACAACTTTCATTTATTATAAATTACAGTATTTTTACTATTGAAAATGTAGTTAAATACAATTATCCATTTACTTCTTTCTTTCAG